CCCCAAAACCCCAAAACCCCAAAACCCCAAAACCCCAAAACCCCACATAATACTTCAAGATTATAAAATTAAATAATGAGGATATCCATTTCCTTTGCCATCTGCTTTCTAGCAAGTCTTTGTTCGGCTCTTGACACCTCGTACTTGCTGAACAATAGGTTCACACATTACGTGAGCAACTTCCAAACTTCTCTAGAAGAGGGACTGGGACAAGTTTACAACGGGTTTAATTTAATCTTCAAATTTGACAAAGAGGCTTATGAAAAATTTGTCAGATTCCAAAGCCCGGAAGAGAAATTTTATGAAGAAGTTTACGCTGAGGGATTTGAGGATGCCAGCGAGTGGTACCAATACCATAATGAAAAATTGAGTAAGTTCTTGGACTATGACTCTTTTAGGGCAACAAGAGAGAAGGGATCTACAAAGCGAAGGACAACAGTATATCATTCCTTTTGAAGAGGAATATCACTCAACTGTAGTTCCAAAATCTGTGGGGGTCAAGATTCACCAATATCAATACTATTGTAATGGAACAAGAGTTAGCTTTGCGAATTACTTGGAGTTCAGAAACCACAATAAGTTTAAATGTGAGAACAAACCTCGCAAAGTCGTATTTGATGCCTGATATAATGATTATGAGAAGTATCCAAAAAATAAGGTTAAGGGTTGCACTGGATTTCACCGTCTTAAATGTAGTTTTGATGTTCTAAAGCCTGCTACTGACTGCTATACTCCAGAGGAGATGAATGAGTTCGGACTTGGTGAAGTCTGTAAAGTCTTAGATGACAATGAAAAGCAAACTTTTGAGTTTACAATGAACTGCACTCATGGAATCAATACAATAAGCCAAGTATATACCTCTACTTACTTCGAAACCGTGTATGACATGGAGCTTAAAGATGGCTCAGAATTTTGGCTTAAAGATACAGACAGATTCATATATTTTCCATTTGATCCTAAATTTAAGATAGAGATAGCTTTCCAGAACTTCAAGTATTTGAGTCAATTTCAAAAATTTTTCGTAAACATCACAGATCCAGATCAAATTATAGGGAAGAAACCGATAACTGTAGATCTGGATTTCAAAAAGATGGATAAGACTTATTCACCAGGAGGTAGATATTTCTATAAAATTTGGCTGAGAACAGAAGCACATTCATATTTTACTTTGGAAGATAACTCTGGACTCATGGCTATTAAGGGCTATCAGGAGCCTAAGAAGTCCAAGCTTGATTATTACCTCAAGATATTCACCCTAAAAAGAATTATTTTACTCATACTCTTGATCTCAGGGATTTCCTTGTGAATATTTTGTAAAAGAAGAAGGGAACAGAATGAGAAAAGATTACTCGAGCAAGCTTCTTAAAGTTGAATATATAAAATTTTCAATGCATCTAATCTATTATGGGGTTTTGGGGTTTTGGGGTTTTGGGGTTTTGGGG